ACAACTTTTAAAGCACCAACGGATTCTTAAGCACTCTGGTTCAGTGTCAGGTCTGTTTCTGATGACAATTGTCAGACACAGTGTGAGTGAGATGATTATTAATAGCTCATCACTCTTGCAGATGTCTTTGGAAAACACTTTTCTAATGAGAAGTAAGAACTAAACCAATGAAACCCTGACACTTAAAAACAGTTAAAGCATTGAAAAAAATGCTTTTACAAATCTTTATGGTAACTCAAAGTGATTGAAGTGAATACTTTTTTACAGTCAACTCATGGCTACAGATTTTACAGTCTTCACAGCTGGTCCTTTTTAGTTTTGTCCATTTCTGTGTTAATGACTTGAGAGGTTTAGACTCTTAACTAGCTCCAGTGACAACTTAATGTTGACTGTAAGGCAAAGAAATACTTCATGTTTTTTTTTGCCCAGTTTGGTATTAAGGCATATTGGATTAGTGTTATTCCTCTTTCTGGTGAGTTGGACTAGTAAGTATTTTTGATGTTGAATCTGAACAAATTAAAAAAATCAATTTGATAAGATCTGGGTGCTATTTTTTCTTTCCTTCCAGAATCATAGCAGGTTTCATTTTCATAAACTCACTTTTACTACACGTTAACAATAAAGAGTCACCCTGAAGAAACTACTGGCATTCTGAAGTAATCCCAGGGATTACTAATATGATTGAAAGGCAGTTTAAACTGTTTGCTCGTTAGATGCTTTTGTACCATCGCCCTGTTTGTCGGATATATCAGGAGTTTCTGCTGTTTCTTCAGTACTGCAGCTCTCCCTATCGTTTACAGAAGCAGCATTCGTTTGTAACACCAAGTCAACCTTTTCCCTCTTTTGGTGCTGATCTCCTTTGTATTCTCCATCCTCGTTTTCGATCACTTGTGCTTCCTCCTTCTCTTCAGCTTCACTGTCTGATCTCAACTGATCCGGTGTTGAAGGAGTGGAGTATGTATCGCTGGCCAGCTCTATCAACGGAGAGAAGGGTTGGGAGATGAAGGGAGAGAGAGAGTAGGGGACCTTAGGAGAAAGAGATGGGGACTGATAAGGCGAATGGGAGGGAGAAGCACTGGGAGAGTCATAAGGGGAGAGAGAAATGTGCATCTTGGGAGATACAGATGGGGACTGATAAGGGGAAAGAGAGGGAGAAGCACTGGGAGAGTCACGGGGAGAGAGGGATTGAAACATTTTGGGGAAAAGAGGAGGTGGGTTAGGCGACAGTGAGGCACAATTGGGGAAACTGATTATTGGACAGGGTTTCATGTAGTCTGAGTCATCTGGGAGATGCTCCTTTATTACTGGTGGCTGAGCAGTAGCCTCCTCTTCTTTCACTCCCTCTTTACTTTGGCGTGCTTCCATCTGCTGCTCCTGCATCCCTGGCTGGATCTGAGGAATTGCTGATGAAGGCTGCAGTTGACCACCGCTGGGATCGTTTTGCGTCACCGGCTGGGTATGGCCGTCTTGAGCAGTCTGGTCTTTTCTCAGCTCGAGTGTTTCCTGTCCGCTCTTCTGGGCTTTACGCCTCCCCTTGGTTTTTGGCATTAGAGGTGGCGGAGGTGGCGGAGCAAGCGGGGGCGACAGCATGGTCGATGTCTCTGTTGAAACCCGGACTTTGAGGCTGTGCTTGAACATGCGCCGTCTGGATAAAGTGCTCTGAGACTGCAGGAAAAGAGGGTTGATGAAACAGAGAGCGCCCAGCCCAGAGCCACAGTCCAGCTCTAAGGGACTACGCGTCGTGATCGGGCAAAACTCATGGAACAAGGTGGAATTTAGAGACGATTTCTGGGCGGCAGCATCTGAGTCAGGTGCAGATTTATGCTGGTTGTCTGAGTCTGGCTGTGGAGCTGAGTCAGACGGAGCTGCAGAGCTTGACTGCAGTGCAGACTTAGGCAGGGCGGAGGTTGCAACATCTCGCTTCTTCTCCTTAGCTTTTCGGGGCTTAGGTGTCTCCCGTGGCCCACGGACATTTAGGTGGGAATTCCAAAACTCTACACAACAAAAAAAAATGTTTTGGTTATTTTAATAAGTTCATCATAACCAAAATTTACTGTGATTCTGATGCGAACAGTGATTTATTTTGAGTAAAGTTAACATTTTATAAGCTGCATAAATTCAACATCATTGTGACTGTAATTTACTATTGATTTTTTTTTTATTAAATTCATATTTTATACATAGAAGAATTAAGTAAGCAGAGGACAGAAAAGATACACCTACACACAAACTTCCCCCAGTGCCCGCTTGCTAACCTGCGGCTGAGACATAATTAATGATGTGCTTAAATAAATCCTGGAAGATTAAAGTATTTGAAGTATTTGATGCTTACAAAATCTTCTATCAGGGAAAAAATGAAATGACCAACCTATTCCCATGTGTGAGATAGACTCGAGCTCTTTGTGCGATGATGCCCTCGCTATTGCGTCAGGAAGCTCCAGAGGGAATGGTAGCACATCTCTGAAAAGAAACATGCGCCGCAGAGATTAAAAAGATCTGCATTAGTTCTTGCACATAAACAGATATTGGAATGGATTCATGTGGAAAAAGAGGAAGAAGTGATGACAACGTAATAGGACTTGATCAAGGTTAAAGAATCAAAATTATACTAAAGAACCACTAAGGAAACCGAGAATGAGCAAGGCAACATTTTACCTGCTAACACAGTAAAAGGAAATTAGTCTTGGAAGGTCTGGAAAGCTGATGGCTGAAGTCTCCAGAGACAGAGCTGCGGATGAAGAAAATTCAAATGTCAGGGATGTTTAGTGCGAGGGAACGCTGGCTGGTATTAATAATACAGTTTATCTGAGGAATTATTGAGTAGAATATTGGGTCTTTGGCCTGAAGTATTACTTTAAAAGAAGACAATGAAAGGCATCTTTGCTTTGATCTGAAGTCTAGTATTTATCTGTAAGTACTGTGTAATACTACAGAAATGATAGTGTGCAGTGTAGTTGTAGATTTAAAGCTGTCTGATATTTAATCACAGCATCTTCAGAATGAAAAGGTTTTAAAGCTAGGTTAAATAAGACTCATAGAATTGCTGACAACACTGCACTCATCATGGTCTGTGTGCGTGTATTTTTTAATTGTTATTTGTTGCAATAAATAATAAAGTAAAAAAAAGCAAATGGTGTATATAATACCTAGCGAAAAAATAATATAATTAAAGAAAATGCTGATTTACATTTATATCCAGCACACGAGTACGGTGTTGTTGCTTCTCCTTGTTAAATGAGAAATTAACTGTGATTAACCACTTTTACAAGCCACTCCCAGGCATGATTACTGCCCGACCTGCTGGATCAGGAAATAAATTAAATCGAACCTGTCTGACAAAGTGATGTGGGCTGAAAGATCTCAAAAAGCAACAGATCATGCCATGATATAAAGACACTAAGAAAAGCTGAGAAGCAAAGTCACTGACTTCTATCAGTGACTTTGTTTGGTGCTTTGAGACTCCACCAAACCACAGTGAGAGCCATTATCCACATATGGAGTAAACAGTGGTGAACCTTCCCAGGAGTGGCCAGCTGACTAAAATTACTCCAAGAGCACATCGAAGACTCATCCAAGAGGTCAGAAAAAAACAACATCAAAAGACCTGCAGGCCTCACTTGCCTCAGTGTTCATGATTCATTAATAAGAAAGTGACTGGGCAAAAATGTCATACCATGGCAGACCATTCAAACTTGAAAACTCTCTAATATGGCTGAATTCAAACACTTCCTTCCCATCTTTGATCCCTTAATTAATGAAATTATCTAATCAAAAACTGCATTTTGTATTTACTTTGTCTAATATTAACATTTGCTCGATGATCTAACATAAGCATGGCACATATGCAAAAAGAATAAAAGAAATAAGGAAGAAGCTAAATAACTTTTTCACAACACTCTATTAAACGTTAAGATGATTTCCTCAAGTGTGAGTGGACTCTTCCAAAGACTACCAAGTGTTGAGGTAATGCTCTTACTGCCTTGCTCCTCTCTGATACCAAACTGCTGAACAAACGATGGCACGCTGTCATCCGTCAAACGCACACAGAGCACGTTTCTTTGGGACGTGCGAGACTTTCGCACCAGGAACGTCTGCAAGACAACACAACTGATTACTGAACGCAACTGGGAGTGCATAAGAAAAGGTAGGAGAGGAAATGTGGATGTGTGTTATGTCTGTGTCTCAGACCCCGGGAGGCTCCCTCTGCAGTATGTGCAGTGCTGTGGCTGGGTTGATTGATAGCTGGAGCCAGACGGGCACTGTAAGCAGGAGACGGTCCAGTACACTGATGTTTTTCAGGGAACCCTGACCCCTCAGCTTGCGCTCCGATACTTGGGTGGGCTCTGGGAAATCGTACAGGGGTTCTTCTTGCTGTGCCATCTAAACACATACAAACGCATACAACAACATAGTTAATGTGCTCCAAATCACCATGCAGTCTCATAATGCTACACGTGGTTATGGCATCCTTCTGGATCCCAGTCATGACAGAAAGACGGGTGAGACTGCTGCACACAAACAGAGACACACACCTGTACCATAAATCTGACTGGATTGGACCGGCAAGTCCAGACTTGGTAAAGCACAGCAGCTCAGACAGAGCTTAAATAAAATAGCAACCTATGGTGAACATCTTTAAATTACAGACACACCAACAGCAAACACAAACGCCACAACAGTCATTAGATGTTAAGTAAAAAAGGAGCAAATGTCAAACTGACACACTTATCCTTGTTAATATGAACACATCAATGGGCTGAATCTGACCGCAGCCTATACATGTCAACTTCTGTCTGGACCCGCACGAAGTACATTCCTCTAAAACTTGCACATTTCCTCCGCAAACTGCGCTGCACGCAGGCTTCTAGCGCTACAGCCACGTAATTGTGTGTCACAGCACGCTCATCTTATTTTTAAACAACCAACTCAAACTGTTTTACTACCTCTCTGCTCCGATTCTTCTCCTTCCTTTTCCACCTCCGGATCCACTTTATGATGGCATGCTTCGTGTTCTTCCACCAGCTTTTTTTTTTTTTTTACTACAATGGGAAGTTTACTTCTCTTTCACTCTGGCCTGTCATGACGCGTGCTGTCAGCTCTGAAGATGCCTTCTTTTGCTCCTCCTCCTAACCCACCTGATCTCACCTGGAGTCAAGTCAAGTCAAGTCATCATGACGTCAGACTCACATGTTCTAGATCCACATAAGACTTGAGTTATGTCTTATTACTGTATTACTTTTTAGTACAGATAATAGTAACAAGTCGTTTTAGAAGAGCAGTTAAACAGGGGTTAATTGATTTAAAGTCCTGTAGTTACAGAAACCATAGCCTCCGTTCATCCATTTTCTTAGTGCTACAATCTACTTTAGCACATTAGCGCGAAGATATGCAAGTAGCTTGCCAGTAAAGTGACCGTCTTGGTGAAACTGCGCCCTCCATGTGTGCAACCCTACCTCAAGAAACCGGATACGGATGTGAGGTTTAAATACGACAGCTCCAGGACCGCGTTGGGTAAGGCTTCTGTGTACTTTGCTGGCATAATTCAAAAATGTTGTAATTTTGGTACAAATATGAAAACTAGACGGGCTTAGTTATTTTTTTTTACGATAACTGGTAACAGAGACCTGGCTTTAGCTTTGGTAGACGTTTGCTACCACTCAGATAAAAGCCTCTACGTTAGCGTTAGCTAGCGTAGCTAACATTAGCTAATGCTCAACAAGATGGCCAGGAGTGTCTGGAGTTTTAGCGTGCTGCTGGTCGTGTAACGGTGCTTATAGTAAGCTATATAAACAGTTACATGTAGCTATTTTTCGTCTTTTGCCATTCTGCGGCTAACCTAGGCGTTTTACAGACTTTAATTTGGAGGCATTTTCGCCGCCCAACTTAACGGTTTTATTAGCTTAGCTAATAATACCTCCTGGCGTCGCTGCGGCGACTGCCAAGTGGCAATCCGGCGAATACGCAAATAGCTATAAAAAAAAAAACCCGCCTGGTAATAACGCCAAATAGTGTGTGGGGGTGGGGGGTTGATCAATCAGCTTTGATAGGCCTTTCGAGATTTTTTCAAGACAACAAATTTCCTGTTGAGATCTACTAATCGTCTAGCTAGCCTGTTGCCGTTGCTCAGAGTATCACAAATGACCGTATGTTCCCCGCATCATGTTTGTTCTCTTGCAGATGCCTGGTTTTTACAGAGATGAGCGGTGAGAACGTGAAGTTGTTTGTAGGGAACCTTCCTATAGATGCTACGCACGAAGAACTGAACAAGCTCTTTGGTCCATATGGCGAGATCAACACCTGCTCGTTGCTGAGACAGTATGCTTTCGTTACCCTGAAGGGAGAGGGGGCAGCAGACAGGTATAATTGTTACACTGGCCATCACTGTTATTAGATATAATTAGTGTTTTGCTTTTCTAAGTGCTGTTGTACATCTCGGAAATCATGTCAAAAGGAGTCATCTAGTTTACATGAAAACATACATTCTTTTCTCAAAGTATAAGAGCAGACTGAGTTCATTGTATTTAGTCATTTAAAGTAGTCCAGCTTTGTCGTTTTTAAACATTCGTCAGAAATGCAACATTTGCATTAGTGATGTTCAGTATGTGTAGTAAAGTAAAGCTAACCCCCAAAATAATTATGGCTTATCAGCAGACTCTTAAATAGAGTATTGCACAGACATCTGCCGTACATTGCTCTGTGTCTCTTAACTTAACTTTGTTCTGACCAGTTGCACTAATGTGCATAGTGGCCTTCAAAATCCTATTGTGAGTTAGAAACATCATATGATAGATAGAATCTATCTATTCCAAAACCAGAAACGTTCATTTATTTTATCATCAAGGTTATTATACTTAAGTAAAACATGTTAAAAACATGTCATAAACTAGACTTTAGTGAAATAAATTGAAACAAGTTGAAATGTCTTTAGTTTTAATGTTTGAGAGTTTAGTCAGATTTAGTCTACATGACATGTCATTCTCTCTCACAGTTTGATTTTTTGGTATTGTAGTACATATTCTGAACCTCTTAAATGATACAGTTGGTAAGCACTATCTGCATTGTAATAAATGATGTTTTTGTTATAGTGTTAAAACAACTACACAGAAATGAGTCCACTCTGGGAGCTACATATTTGTTACAGTACAACAATCATATTAATGAGTTATACAATATAAATTAAAGGTTAAAAGTAACAAGTATATACATATATTTGACCTTTCCAGTGCTTTGACTGTTTAAAAGTAATGACTAATTATAAATCTCAAAATCCATGCATAGCAGCTTAATTTGACCATTTACTTAGCTTCACTTATCTGCTTAATACTAGTCTAATACAGTAGAAGCCTAAAACACATGCAATAGTTTACAGTTTGCAGACACCTTAAAAAAATGTCTGAGTGGAGACAAACAGTTCAGATACAAGAATTGTCTCTTTCATTATTATTAGAAATTGGAAGACCTAGGTCAAACAATAAAATTAACAAAGTTTATAAAGGTATGAAAGAAGCAACAGGCTGCAGTATCTGAAAAACTTTAAGATACTGGGGGTAAAAAAAAAAGGAACAGGACCATTCTCTCACCAAACACTGTTGTGGTCTGACTAATTACAGTAGCTGTTTACTTCCTATTAAAGTTCAGTTAGTAAAACAAGGAAAGGCTGCAGCAGTATTTGTTATGCTGGTATTTGATCTCTTCCATAAAGAACTCCATTAATTCTTCATGGCATAGATTCAACAGGGTCTCATCAAAGATTTTGGTTCATATTGATGTGAAATCATCTGGTCACTGCAGATTTGTCCTGCCTGCACACCTATAATGTGAGTCTGCTCTTCCAGCACATCCCAAAGGTGCTATTTTGGGTCAAGATCTAGTGACTGAAGGACATTTAAGTACAGTGAACTGGTGGTCACATTCAGAATAAATATTTACCATATGAATGTTGACTCAATCATGAGACCAGGCAGTTTTTGTCCAGTCTATTGTCCAATTTTGGCGAGCCTGTGCAAATTGTAGCACCAGTTTCCTGGGCTTGGATAGCAGGAACTTGGTGTTCCATATTCAAAGTGAAATTGCCGTTCTTACTCATTCCGATGCTCAGTTTGAACCTCAGCAGGTAGTTTTCACCAAGACTACATATGTAAATGCATTGAGTTGTTGCCATGTGACTAGTTGATTGGATATTTGCATTAATGAGCCTTTGAATAGGTGTGCTAAGGGAAGTAGGCAGTGACCGTATATTGCAGTTAAATGTTATTACTGATAGTCTCATCTGTGGTTTTGAATGTGTTTATGATTTAGCTGTTCTTACGTTAACAGGGCGATACGACATCTTGATGGCAAAGAGTACCGAGGCAGACCCCTGGTAGTCGAAGAGTCACGAGCACGCCCACCCAACTCCACTAAAGTGTTTGTGGGGAACCTCAGCGCTACATGTTCAGCAGATGACTTGCATGGGCTGTTCTCAACCTTCGGAAGAGTTTTAGACTGTGATAAAGTCAAAGGTAACGTATAAAGCCTTGTAAGCTGTAAAGATTGTGTGTGAGAGAAATTTGCATCAGGATTTAATTAACTTGAGCTGGTTTGAATAAGAACAGATTTGGGGACTTTAAACTCTGAGCAAGTGACTTTTCTGGTTTGCATCGTGGTCCAATCTTTCAAGTTGATGTGACATAAAATATGGGATGCACACATTTTATTGTAAAAATCAGCCTCAGACTAATGTTGACCTTTCTCTTTCCTGTAAACTACAGCAAGGTTATGCTCAAATGTCGGCTATGCATTCGTGCATATGGAGAGGAAGGAGGAAGCCTTGGCGGCTATTGAGGCACTCAATGGGACCATGTTCAAGGGGCGTCAGTTGGCTGTAGAGCTGTCCAAAGCCCAACCTCTGATAAACCAGATTATGACAGCCGGAAATTCAGCTAACCCCGCAGGTGCTGTAACAGCAGGTGATGATGAAAGGGCAATTTGTTTTCCAAGAAATGAAATGCAGCTTATGTTGTAATCATGTTTTCAGCAGGTGGCAGAGAGGGTCTTCTTCCACGACCGCCTCCGTCACTAGAGCATCATCAGAGTCAAGCAGCTGTGCTTGCTGCAGCTGCAGCTGCTGCAGCTGGATTACCCATACAAGTAAGCATATTCCCCACCAGGATGTCCACTGCCATTTGAAAGCCTTCTGCTCTTTGTTTTTCAAAGTAATGAATATCACAACTTTTTAGGAAACTTTTATTTTCAGTCAAGCCTTTTATGAACTTTAATTTGAACTCCCTGTATTGCACCATAGAGTTTAGACGGACTAGATTTAAGAATTTTCTTTTGTTGCAGGTTCAACAAAGTGTCCATAACTCTTTCTACAACACCACATCCTTTGACCCCACCTATGCTGCTCTGAAAGGGATCACCAGTTCTAAAGGTGCAGATGGAGTCATATATGGAGCTCTTGCCAGCCAAGTGTATGGATCCGTAGCTGACCAGGTGTTTCATGAGCTGGCAAATCACAATTCTGCGGCGGCCGCAGTTGAGGAAGAGGTGGAGCCCCAGACTGTACCAGATCCAACAACACTTTTCGAAGCAGCGAGAGCCAAGTTCTTTCAGGAGGGACAGAAGGTCTGTTAACTTTGGAGTAAAAATGTCTTGTGTGCTTGTGTGTCTATTATTGTGTTTCAGAAACGGTCATCTTATCTGTTGTTTTTTTTTTTTGTTTTTTTTTTAATATGATTCAAGGTTCTGGCAGAGCAGCAGGCAGGGAGAAAGGCAGCACCTTCAGATAATGAGCGGGACCGCAGCCCAATACGAGGAAATCGAGCTCCTCTCCTCCCTGACCCTGTTCCAGGTTCATTTGCTCAGATACGCCCCAAACGACGTGCCCTGCTTCCAACACCACCTGGAGCACCTGAAGACCCCGTCGCTACCACCACCACAACTCCTGAAGGAGCAGATCCTGTTGCGAGGTACACATAACATTTAAACAGCAGATAGTGATAGAAGAAAATTAAGCTTAAACCAGTTTATGATAATATAACATGGTCATATTATTGAGATTTGTGTGCCTTTTTTTTTTTCTGCTTATTTCTTACCTTTTCTTCAACTCTAATTTTGACTCAAGGTCATATACAGAATACTACCAACAAATGCATCAGTACCAACAGTATCAACAGTACCAGCAACAGTACCAGTACCTCCAGTATGCCTACACCAATCCTCCACCACCACCTCCGCCTCCACCGGCAACCACACAGGCACCTGCTTCCACCACAACCCCTGCACCACCAGGGACATATACAGCACTCCCGACATATGCCGCATCGGATTCCTATGCAGCACCAGGAACGTACGACACTTCGGGAAGTTATGACGCCTCATCGGGGAGCTACGACGCTTCATCCGGGAGCTACGATGCCTCGTCTGGAAGCTACGACGCCTCAGCGGGCTATGACACATCTGGAGGCTACGGGGCACCGGGAGCATATGATTCATCGGGAGCTTACGGAGCGGGAAGCTACTCCACCTCCACACCGTATGAGCAGACACCCGCACACGGGCAACCCATGCCCCCGCGCCACGATTACCCTTACCACACGCCAGAACCCCCTTATCGATAGTCCCACCCCCTTCCCACACGCTCCTTACACATGGCAGATGTGTGATTGTGTGTGTGCGCGTGTATGTGTTTGTGTGTGTACGTGGGCGAGCATACATAAGGGACAGTTTAAAGGTGAAAAACGAGAGTGGGCAAGGTTGTGATTCTCCCCTGTTTCTCCATCTTGACCAACTAGTCTCTCAATGGATGATTACTCAGTTAAGTGGATGATTATGAGCTAGCAAGGTCTCTGGAGTAGTGGAGATGAGGGAGGCAGCTGATACTGGAATGCTGTTAAGCATTTATAGTTCCTGTTAGATGTGATATAGAGGCACAGCTGGTTCCTTGTTGAATGTTAAAGCTTAAATTTTGCCTCAAACAAGGTCGGACTCAGAAGGTGGGTTTTTGTCACTTCAGAAGAGCTTTCTGTTGGGTGTCAGGCGAAGCCCTTTTATGTACTCTACATAAAAGATTGTTGCTGCATGAAATGTGCAGTCTGGCAACTCTTTACATCATCGTATATTGCAGACAAAAAAAACAAAGTACAGATAAGGAAATTAGAAACCGGTTTTATCCATGGAAACATATCCTGTCCAACTGGGACTGTATGGCTTTGTTATTGTTTTTATAAAACACTAATTTCTCTACAGGCCCATGATGTTCATTCATGACGGCCAACTTTGGGTTGGCTGCAATTTAATGTGCTGTTGAGCTGTATTGCTTTATACTAATTGTTTCTATAATTTTGTCCCCTTTATATATCTGTCAGGGTGTTGAAGAAACATCTCTTTGTATAATGTTGTTCAGTTAGACAGCACCTCAAACTGCAGTCTGCTATGAAGAACACAAAGTTGACTCAGCACATCTCCAACAATAACAAAGTACAAACAGTTGTGCTTGCATATTTGTTGTAGCTTTTGTAGAGTATGTAACGAGGCTTAGTCTGAAGTCATTTGTAGCGATGGTTTCGTAACAATAAACCTGTTTTGATCAGACGCGCAACCTCTACATATAATATGGTGTTTGAAGATGGAAAGCAGAGCTGAGGTAAAAGGAAGTTTGAGTGGTTAATCAAATTGATTGTTTCATTTACTGAGGAAATTTGATCCCGTACAGATTGAAAATGTGTTGTTAAATTGACCAGATGGCATCTCAAATAATGTATCAGGCCGGTTTCACTTAAGCCCCTTTCAGACATGGGATAGAAAACATCAGTCTTGTAGATTGACAGCACTTGGATTTTACATGAATTCTTCTCACGGCTTCGTTCAGGCACACAAACAGCTTTCAATATATCCAAAAGACCTATCTCACTGGTGTCATTGGGCATTGTAAGCATCACTCTGTAGATGTAGTTTCACTTGAGAACATTTGTTCTCTCCTTCATCGTCAGTACCAGCAGGGTTTCTCTGATTTTGAGTGTGTGGGCTGCCGACTGAGCTGCTTCTCCCACACAAGCTCAGAGACATCATCCTGTCTTCTGGACTGAATAAAGCAAACACATACACTTGATTATTGTTTTTGACGCACATGTGACAGCATGCATCCAGACATGCACCATATTGAAAGAAATCTGTAAGTCTTACTAGGTAGACCTAGTGAGATTGCTGTGTCTGAAAGGGGTTTTGCTGACGGTGTAGTCTTAAAAAAATAAAAGAATGGGGGCTGTTCACATGAAAACATTTCCTAAGCTTACTCGTTTGCAGGGTGAGAGGAGTGACTTTGAGGTAAATTTCTAGACCATCCTCCTAACATACAAGAGTTGGACTGTTTTTTGATGGATGTAAGCAGTGTGTGAATAACCTGCTTGATGTTTCATAGTTTTGCTATTTTGGGCAGTATCGATTAAAGCAGAGTAGACCCACAAGAGTGCATGATTTCAGTTGAGGTAGATGATTATAATTTACCTACCTTTTCTTCCCCTCTTGGCTTTCTGTAAATCTTGAGGTCTGTGCAAACAAAAATATGTTCCAACCTCAGGAACTGAATATGTCCTGTCAGTTTTTGCTTTAAAGGTCGGTTTTGCCTTTAAACGTCAGAACAGAGTCTTCACGTAATTTAGTAGTTATTCACACTTAGTTCTTTCTCTCTCAGTTTTGTGTTCAATGCATCCACATCTTTCTCTGATTATAAGCAGCATTCAGTTGTTCAATAGTTTTGGGGGTTTTTTGTTGGTTTTGTATATATGTGAATTTATAAGAGCCAGGAGGAATGTCAGCAAGCGATGCATGGCCAATGGAGCTAATAGAATTTGAGCAATTAAAATTCAACTTTTAATTTTTCTTTCCTCCTTTTTATTTTTTGTTTTTGTTTTTTTGACATCGTCCATTAGTTTCCATTTTGTTGGGAGTCTCATCAGCTGCTGTCATACCTTTGGTCTCACGGATAGCTGTGGTGATTTAGACAGAGAAAAAATCTACAATTTGGTACAAATGTAAATATTTAAAAAGATGCCAACCAACATTTGGTAGGAATATTGACTGTTAATAAAAACCATAGTGATTGTATTTCTTTCTAAACAGTTGGAGACCTGGTGTAGTTGGACAGTTCAGTTGTACCAGACTCGTAAAAAGAGGCAGCCGGTTTGTATGGCAGGGAGGGATTACAGTTGTGCTTATGACATGTAGTGAGTGATGGTGAGTTGTAGTGGCATTGGCGAGTGAAGTAAAAAGAGAAAGCAACTGTGCGTGTATCGAAGGGTTTTAAGCCGAGCAGACTTCAGGTGATGTTCTCAGTGCTGCTGGTGATGCGAAAGTCGTTTTGGATTTTGTAGAGGCCACTGATTTTTCCCGGGCAGAAGTGAGAAGACACGAAGACCTTTCCTTTTCTCTTCTGATCTCACCAGAAGCACACACGAGCTTTCTCAGCATCCAAATCACACCTAGACAACTTTCACCTTATAACTGGGTTAGTTCATATAATTTATAACAGACAACACGTGCGATGCAGTGCAAATAATACTAATGCACACCTGATTCTTCTTGCATTCATGACTCTCAATAGTTGCTCCGATGTGATTGTACCACACATTAGCTACTCGCATTACTTCTCATTCAGCACGTGAACTGATAGTGCTGCGATTAATTTTCAGTGACACATAGCCTCTCTACATTTCCACATTATTCCACCTTCTCCATGTGAACTGTTAGTTGCTTGCCTTGTTGTTGCTGCTGCTCCAGCCACCTTCTTCCTCTTGCTGATTATTGCAGCTAGAGTGGGAGGGAGCCAAACTGAGCCCTTGCCCTGGACGTACGGCACACGCAGCTGTAGCGTGGAATGGGGAAAAAAGCAGCGTTAGGCCTGAAACTGCTGTGGACGATGGGGGGTCTCCCCACTAAGGTAAACACTCAGACCACACACTCAGACCCCTCCCCGAAACACGCCTACACACTCACCAGCACACACACGCCGTACAGATGCTCCTGTGTCCATACTTCTTACTCCTCACTTGCCTTCAGGGATTCAGATTTGTC